TGACAAGAATGTGTCGGCAGCTGCAGGATGAGTGCTGTAAAGAGGGTGCCTGGGTTGAGAACAAGGGTTCCATCTTGACCTATCACTTTCGGACTGTCCCAATCCAATTTAGAAGTGCATTCAAGCGGAGCGCAGCCACAATCATCTCCAAGAATGGCTTCAAAGTCTATCAGGCCAATTGTGCCATTGAAGCCAGGCCACCTGTCCAGTGGGACAAGGTAAGGTTTTATCCTAATTTCAACTAATCTTTGCTGTAGATGTATGCTTGGCTTTCTTTTGAATGTGGGGTTATTCCACGCCAAATTGACCAGTGAGTGAGCTGGACCACCTCAGATTTTGACGAAAATTGGCACACACGTAAAGGAATCAATTTGCAGTATAGAAACTAATTTCAACTGATTTTTTAAAATCTCTTATGCAGATCTCCAGATGCATGCATTTTAATGTGACCGGGGACACTGGGAGTTTCACTCCCAGTGCCCATACAGATTGTAATTGTGAAACTGTTTCTGCAATAACTTCCCCTCTAGTTAAGATATAATTTCATTCTGGTGTCATTTTAATCGTGAGATCTCCGTCTTTAAATCGATTCCAGGCACAGTTCTCCTCAGCTGAAACAAGACATTCCACTTGATCAAACTGTTTGATCAAGTTCAGTGGCCAAAATCGACACTTGCCACCTCACGAATTCGTTGTTTCAATATTTTATTTAAAAGGATGCCATTCTGACGATACCAAATTCGAGATTGGCACTCAATGGCTTGATGAGATATGAATATTTTTGTGCACCTGTAATGCCAAAATTCCGGTTGTTCGAACACTTTCGTTGACTTCAGTGACTCACTTTCTCTGAGTGAAGTGACTCAACACTTTCCACTCTGTGAATTCCGAACAATTTAAATACATCACTAAAAAGGGTCTGCTATGCCTTTACTAACAATACCAAATGCAAGGTTAGCACTCAATCAGTTCGTGAGATATGACTGTTTGTAGCAGTTGTACACAAAATTCCATTTAATCGAGAAATCAGACCGATTTCGACAACCGACATTTGCATCATCCCTCCATGACTTTAAGTTGGAATATTCCTTGGAAATTGCAGTTAATGCTGATTCAAACGTTAAAAATTTAAGATTGCCATTTAATGACTTAATTAGATATGACTATTTCTCGTGGCAGTGCCAAGCTTATAATTGATAGAACAGCTTGACCGATTTCATAGACTAAAAGTTGTAATAGACCCTCAATGAATCCAGAGTTGTAATATTTCCTTTAAAAGTGAACTTTATGCCCTTTCAAACGACACCAAAGTGAATATTGGCGCTCAAGTGCTTCATGAGATATGACCATTTAACGAGAACAGGAGTTCCCAGAGTGCTCCAATAAGGAATCATTGGAATACCTCATATAGCCTTGTGGTAAGCCATGAAATTATTACACAGATTTTTATTATTTTATGCACTTTTATCTTGTTTCTATACTGCCCAAATCGCAAAATATTGCAGTGATTATCAATAAAATTCCTTGCCTACCATTATTATTATGTAATTAACTCATTAATAAAAGGTAAGCGAGTTAATTGATTTTTAGTTGTTCCAAAATGAATATTTTGTAATTTTTCATGCAAAGGACAGGGTTTAAGTATCCTCTTTCTCCCATTTCCAAGGGTCGAGCATCCATCTATATCCTTCGAACCATGTTCGGAGTGGACTGGCTAGAGCGGATCCGTGTCATCTACGTTGGGGATGATGTCACAGATGAGGATGCAATGCGTACCCTCAAGGGGGTGGCTTACACATTCCGCATTACCTCACACTGCCTGGTCCGCACTGCTGCAAGCAGATGTCTGTCAAACACAGATTCTGTGTTGACACTCCTGAAATGGGTCGAGCGGCATGTGATTAAGCGCCACACGCCTGATGAGTCCTACTCCAGCCCTTTGTCTCATGCTGCTGAAGGAAATCAATATGACTCTGAGAATGAAATGGGTGGAACCAAGAGCAACCAGAAAAAGCGACAACGTGCTGATAGTTTCAGTCGAATAGCTCCAGTTGACCCTCATCATGGTGGGATGCGGATCGAAGTCTCTCTGGATGAGTCCTCACTTGATGGAGGCGAGTTAAAGACCCTACGCAAGAAGCATTGCCTTGGTCATACCATTCTTGAAGGGGATCATAAGTCATCATTCTAGACCATCTTTAAGCACACAGATGGCTTACTGTTTCTCGTATTGTTTCTTTTGCATGAAATGTATGAAGTGTGTTGTCATCTGTTCTCTTGCTAGTTCTCCTCTCGCTAGTTCTCCTCTCGCTAGTTCTCCTCTCGCTAGTTCTCCTCTCGCTAGTTCTCCTCTCGCTAGTTCTCCTCTCGCTAGTTCTCCTCTCGCTAGTTCTCCTTAATTTTGTAAATAGTTTTTTGCTGTTTTTCTGTTTCATGTGCCTCAAAGTAGCTGCATTATTTCATATTTCAGTACATGCCATCAGACTCTTGGCTCCTGCTTGTTATATAGTCCAGGATTTCAGGTTATTTTTCACATCGACTATTCACTCAGATCTACACCAGTCTAGTCTGTAATTATTCATTAAGGATGCTTGGATACTCCTTTTGAAAGGTATATTCATAGTTGCTCTTGGATGTTGCTATGGGTAGTCTTATCTTTGGTAGTATCTTTCTGACAGTAGTGAAATAAGCTCAATATTTGAACAGGCTTTTTTTTATCATCTCAGGGTCATATTTTCTTGAGGGAACACTCTTGATAATACTTGAATAATTTGATTCTACCAAGTTTCTTTGCTGCTTCTGTTTTGGAAGTGTAGAATGCCTGCTATTTTTTTTGCCTCTCCAGTTACTCAGATTACCTAATCTGTTTATGTAGTCGATTGCACATAATGAAATTGTGTCCTTTCATGTCTGGTAAATTCAGATATTCAAAGTACTCCTGCCACCTGCAGCTGCAACTTACATCCACAATTTTGAGGCCTGGCTTCAGAATTTCTGCTTAGGCAGAGATCAATGAAGATGATAAGAACATGTTAAATTTCATTTTTGAATGGTAAAATTCCTTTTAGTTGTGGGGCAAGTCCTTGAGGGGGTTAAATATCTCCCCTTCACTTTTGGGATGCATTGTAGCTTTAAATTTTCTCAGTGATTGATGTGACCAGGTCTCCTGAAAGTCCTTCTCAGGTCGCATCTTTCTTACTATCTTTTCTGATTTATTCCTTTTTCTTAAGGTTTAAGATAGTGTGTTAATGTGAGTTTTTTAATCAGTATGACTTCTTGTATATTGTAGCAATATCAACATTTACGTTTTTCCTGTACCTGGGAATCATGGTCTCATGAAACAGATAATGAAAGCCAAAATTGTCTTGGTAGTTGCTCATGCAGCTAATAACAATGGGTTTCAGGGGCTGCCAAATCCTTTTCACATGGAGTTGGTGTACCAGCATGCAAAAGATGAGAGATAATGCATATAACCTTGTGGGAGATACAAGATTTCAGTTTTGTGTTTAGATTTTTGTTCTTGAGATCAGGTCTGTTGCATATCCAACATTTAGGGCATGTAGCTGGCATCTAAGAGGTTGGATTACCTCGTCAGCTGTACTTGATGTAGTTCAAAGTCGTTGTGTTTGTCTTTTTTTTCTAGTCTTTTAGTTTTTCCTTCGTGTCGAAGTGTATATTCTTCCTTCAAGTCCGAAGGGGTTATGTGCAACGCTAAATCCACTCGGAAAGGTTTGTGCTGCTTTTGTCAGTCATCCATACCATGTGGAGTGCATGTTCTGCCTTCGCAACGAAGACCAGCTTCATGTTTTTTGTCGATCTATTAAGAGAAGTTTGAGGTCTATCTTTGATGAGGTTGCAAGGTACAACTCTTTTATGAGTTGTACTTGCCAGAGTATGACCCTGAGCTGTGGAGTTATACAGTACGGCTCTTTTATGAGCCGTGCATTTATCATATATAGCACGACTCTTTTGTGAGCCGTACTTTTTTAGACTGCTTCTCTGTCGCAGGTCTATCAACTCTGGAAGGAAGCAATACCTTGCTTCCTTCTTTCCTTTATTGTCCTGTCTGTGATGCTTGTCTCAGTTGCAGTGATTGAATGTCATTACTTTGGTTAATAAATAAATATCCCTGAAAAGTGATGCTGTGGATTATAATAAGACTACCAGGTTGTCCTGGATAATCCACATTCTTCGACAGAAAAAGGAAATATACACGAGATACTGAACATAAATCATGAGTTGGCCAAAGGCATAAATGTCAAGGAAACATTGACTCTACATCTGGGAATATTTACATTACACAATATATTCTCTGGCATTCTATATGATGATGCTATAAATATAGTGAATATGAAGTATTTTCTTGGCAACTCGGAAGTACTGGGAATGAGAACTCAAAGGAAAGAGTCTAATTAAATGTTTAACACTGAAATGAAGAATTATATAATATTATAACTTAGAAAATCATGAGTCAATCCTTGTGACTCTGAGGTTTTAGCATGATGAGCATGTCTGTGACTCTTTGGGGCAGTAATATGTCAAGATGTACTAAGTATCGGAAAAATAAGCAAGAGGTGAGGAAAATATTGGATGAAGTCCATGCAGAGGCTCAATGGAGTTCACATCAGATAGATAGGGGGAAACATAGGCCAATACTAATGTCTATGTATGAAGACCTCAGCCAGGAGCAACAGCACACTGCCTTATCCTTGCCCTTCCTCAATACCTTTAGGCCTATGTCTGATCTTAATGATTCAACTGTGAGGCCTGAAGGCCTACCCAAGAGTGGAGGTTCAGGGCAACTCCCATTACAATCAGTACATTATCCTGGGAACATTACATGTCCCTTTTGTGATAAACTCAATGGCAGTTGTGTCTGCTCAGAGTTATTAAGTTTCAATGATAGTCATGGCTCTGAATGCAATCCACCAAACTTGAACGGTTCTTCTCACACCACAAGTGCTCTCAATTTACCTGTTTTGGAAGGATCTCATTTTCAGGATGCTCTTGCTGAGTGGAAAGCAAGTTGCAATATCCCTAGGGCTTCCATGGACAAGCTTCTCTTCATCCTTCGTGCAGCTGGACATGGTAATTTGCCCAAGGACAGTCGAACTCTTTTAAAAACATTGAGAACTTCATGTGTGAAGTCTTTGAGAGAGGGAAAATATTACTATTTTGGGTTACAGGAAGGTCTTCAGTTTGGACTTCAGGGTGTGAAGGATCTTGATGAATGTGCTGTGATGGTGAATGCTGATGGATTGTCTTTGTTTAAGAGCAGCAGCATTGAATTCTGGCCTATCTTGTGTAGAATTGTATGTGATGCTGTCGCATCTCCATTTCTTGTAGCATTGTATTGTGGAGAGGGTAAGCCAGAACCTTTGGCAGAGTTTTTTCATGATTTCATCCAAGAGGCCAAGACCTTGATGAGACAAGGAGTTACTCTTAGCTCGAGTGGCATTGATCAGATTCAGATCCCCTTCAGAATATATGCATTCATTTGTGATGCTCCTGCCCGTGCTTTTGTCAAGTGCATAAAGGGGCACAATGGTTATAGCTCCTGTGAAAGATGCATGCAAGAAGGAGAATACTATGAACATAGGATGACTTTTCCAGAATTAGATCTCACTTTGAGAACTGATGAGGCATTTGTGAAGCAGTCTGATGAAGATCATCATACTGGTGTTTCTTCATTGCTGGAGTTGAATCTAGGAATGGTTACTGGATTCCCTCTTGATCCAATGCATATGATCTACTTGGGGGTAGTTCGTTCACTTTTGTATCAATGGGTTGGGGGGAAAGGTTCTCCAGCTGTACGGCTCCATAGTTCGGCAATACGAGCACTCTCAAGGAAGTTAATGAGTATGAGCAAATATATTCCCTGTGATTTTTCACGGAAACCTAGGAGTATAGAGCATCTTAGGAGGTGGAAGGCAACAGAGTTTCGGCTGTTTCTCTTGTATCTTGCACCTGTCATTTTGAGAGACATTCTGCCAGCTGAGGTGTACAGACACTTTCTTCTCTTGTACTCTGCAATTTACATTCTCTCAACTCCAGTTTTATGCCATTCTCATCTCACTGTTGCTCAGAAGCTCCTAAAAAAGTTCATTCAGAAGTGCTCTCAACTCTATGGGCAGAAGCTCCTGGTTTACAATTTTCATAATCTTTTGCACATAGCAGATGATGTTAACCTGTATGGACCATTGGATTCATTCAGTTGTTTCCCATTTGAGTCTTTTCTTGGGAGATTGAAGAAACTTGTGGCTTCTCCATTCTTGCCTTTAGAGCAGGTTGTGAAGAGGATGCATGAAAATCATGGCAGAACCCAGTATAAAAGTGTCTTTGTTCAATTGGGAAATAATGCAATGCTATCATGCCCTACTGTAAAAACTGTTGTTTTCAAGGGTGAAAGGTGTCCTGTGTATTCTCATCTGGAAATAGAAGGAACTGTCTTCAATGTGAGAAGGATTCAAGACAGGACTTGCTTATTGATGAATGGCAAGATAGGTATAATCACGGGCCTAATTGGAAGCATTGATGGTTCCATCATCCTTTTAATGAGGGAGTTCTTGTACCTAACATCCCTTTTCATGAACCCCATTGATTCCTCAGTCATAAATATTTTCAGAGTGTCCAAACTCTTTAGTGAGGAGAAATACTATTCTGTGGGGCAAATAAAAAAAAAATGCTTCAGACTTCCATTTAAGAGGGGAACAGTTGTTATCCCTTTATGTCATTAGAATTCTAGAGGATAAAATTTGCACTTAAGGTTCTGCATTCTGGCTTTACCATGGAAAACTATGGTACACCAGTGATGTACCCTTAAGTGGAGGATAGATCAGTTTCTGTATCCAAATATAATTTTAAAAAAAGAAGAATCAATAATTTTCAGATGCAGTGTCAATGCTTTTCAGAATGTCATTCCCAATTATGGAATTCCCTGGGAAAGAATGTGTTGTCGTGCCTGAATCTTGGTATGCCAGAGGTAAATGTAGGTGGCCAAATTGCACATCTGACAAGCAGCTGCAGGAATTTATCTCATCATAAGCTGCACCCCAGTCTGACTGGGAGGAACATGATGGACTTGTCCTCAAAGTCTATGGTAAGTTTTATTTTCATGGTATGCTAATTCAGACTCAAATGGCCTTGAAACTATACTTATAGATACAGTTTTGCCATGAAAAGATAGCTTCCACATATTAGCATGCCATTTAGTATTTTTGAATAAGCGTAATGATTTTTGCCTCACTAAGGAGACCTTCTGTAAGTTTCTATATTATCTGTGCTCAGCAACAAACCATTTGCT